CAGCGATGGAATACATAGGGATCCTCAGTTGCTGAAGGGTGGAATGAATGTACAATGCAGTAGGAAAGTGAATTTGTAGAAAACGTGATAGAAATAATATAATCCCACAAGGGAAACAAATAAAACAGGATCACCATGTAACAATGCAACACAACAACAATCGCGATATTATTACCAGCGTCTCCAAGGAAGTCCAGGACCTTCAAATGCCGTGCGACTATTAATCGCGGACAGGTTCACGACGTACCCCTGAGCAGGAGTTTGTACCTTACCTTCTCTGTCAGTGGCGTGGGCAGACACATTGATTGGAAGGAAGCTTGATGCTTTAAGACCAAATCCAAGTGGAGTCCAGAATCCAGAACGAATTTGCTGACTTGACTTCTGGAGACCTATTGAAATTCTGGCAGAAGAGTTTTTTTTGGAAAATCCCCACATGTTATTGAGAACTAATCATGTACAGTCCAGCGCTTTTTACCGCTACCTATTACCAATTTTGAAGAAATTATGGGCGTTCAAAGAGTGAAAAAAATTCCGTGTTGTCGTTGCTATGCCACACAGTTTGTTACGGTGGAATAGATTTATTCGGTCGACGTTTTGAACAATTCGTCGTCTTCATTTTTCATTTTTCATATCTACTGAGGATTGGTTGGCTGCGTGGACGCTGGTGGAGTAGCAGTAAGGTCCTGAAGACGACGAATTGTTCGAAACGTCGACCGAATAAATCTATTCCACCGTAACAACCTGTATGGCATAGCAACAACGCGGAATATACAACATACCCATGGCATAGGGGAAAAAACGGAACAAGGGAACTATCTTTTGAAGATATGAACTTTCTGAGAAGTTTCAGTACTGTTTTGCGAGCTCTAATCCTTTAGCTTCTATAACAATTACAGATCTGCGAAAGGTTGATTATGAAGACGGTCATGAACGTTCAAATGCTGAAAACTCGCGAAACTTCTCGAAAATCAATCTCTGAAAAACAGGCCCTGAAAAGCGGAACAAAGGAACGATTTTTGAAGAGTTGAACATTCGCAACATTTTGAACAGTTTTTGGAAAGAAAACGGTTGAATTTTCCGAAGTTGCAAGTTCCCTCCCGAGATCGCCCACGGAAGAAAACACGTATAACCTTCCAAATGAAGAGGTTCATTGCTACTGCAGAATTAATTTTCAATTAATAGAAAAGGGAGATTTGAGAGTTTGAGGAAAAGTTCCGTAAGAGTACCCTTGATCCGCCTTAATTTGATGTTCTCGCCTGCGCTCTCTCGCCCTGAGAGCGGCTCATGACCAATGTGAACACAAACATTCAAATTTTTGCCACGCTGTAACTCACCCTTCCCGCCGTCCCCTTCTCCTTCAAGCTGAAAAGAGGGGGTCGTACTGTTATCCCATACAGGGAGGGGGTCGTAAGAAGTTTGAAGTTTGCGCAACGCACGCTTGACGCTATTTGGGGTCTCAGGCGCACTTGCTACACGCTGTGAATTCGTGAGGATTAATACCAAATGATGTTTGTCGCTGATTGAGGCAAATTGATCTATTAGTCGAGTGTTGCCTATTGTGAAATTTCCCGCTTCCGAAGAGCAGAGAAGTGGTGGCGTAGGCCGGTCGTTCGGTCCCCTGATACATACATTATATTACGGTTTTTCAGAGTCTCTCCCTAGCAGGTACTAATTTATACCTCATATCTCGATTGTGAGTGAATCTTACTTATCGGTTTCGTTTAGATCCAGAAACTGCCTTATTTGACGAACTTTGGATGCTTCTGCGAGTGCAATGAACATGAGAGCCGCCTAAGAATGCTGTGCCTCTTCGAAGAAAAACCGAAAAACTCAAAGTGAAAAACCTGAGACTGAAAAAACTTGCACTATAAAGTAACTTCGGAATACTATCTGTTACATTCACTCATTTCAAGAGAACTCTCACGTTATTTAGAAGCCATTGAAAAGCCATAAAGTCACAGCAGTGAATATTGATTACAAGCCAATCAAGGAAAGCGCTTTAGCTACAAGCTGAATACCTTATTGATTTTTTTATCGATCTGCGGCACAGAGAATCCTTGTTATCCCGAATCTTGTCATCCCGAATCTTAAGCTGCCGAACGAAGAACTCGT